CTACCTACTATATATATATATATGGAACTAATGCTGTCACTGCCTGCAACTAACTTCTTTTCGTTTTCTCTCCTCTCTCTCCCCCCTCTTTGTTTTTTTTGTTTTTTTATGCTACAACGTTGCCTCGACGCTTGCCTGGGGAGACACGCAACGACGCGGTGAAGTGTTACTTTTTTTTTTTAGTTGTGTTTGTGTGTGTGTGTTTTTTTTCTTTGTTTTTACCCCGTTTAAATATTCGTGTCAAACAGGTTTTCTTTTTTTAATTATTATTGCCTTTATTTCGGTTTGAGTGCTTGTCGGTTTCTTCTCTCTCGCTCCGCGTGCGTGTCTGTGTGGAGAACCGACCCGCTGAAGGACGTGCCTCTCCGCCGGCCTGTGAGTTCTGCTGACGGCCGGTGTGCCGGCTGCGGCCCTTCTTTCCCTCTCCCTCTCACTCCCTCGCTCTCTTGCTCCCTCGCCTCGTAGAGCCTCCGTGCGGTGGCGGTCTCGCAGGCAGACACGCGGCGGCGGCGGCGGCGGCGGAAAGCAAAATGTAGCCCTGACAGTGCGGGCACAACACAACGGAGCGCGGGGGCCGCAGGGAGCTGAGTGAGTTCTATGCACAGTAATATGTGTGTTGTGTATATATATATATATGTATATATACCGCTGTGTGCTTGTGTTTGTGTGTATGTCTGTGTGTGCGCGTGGGCGGGTCGATGTGCTCTGCTGCCTTTTACGCCTGCTCTTCTGTCACGCTGCACTAACTCTTTTGTTTCCTGGTGGGGTGGCTGGGCGGTGGTTTCTCCGCAACTGCCAGTGGCACGCGGCGGGCGGCGGCAAAGCAACAGCGTGGAAAGAGAGAGAGCAGGCAGGCGGATGAGAGGGTCGCGGGGCGTGGGTGCCGAGTTGTGTGTGTGTGTGGGGGGGGGGGGTCGGCAGGCACAGCCGCGAGAACGCCGCGGCCGGGAGCCATAGAGCGAGGCCACACATCGCAGCCACGAGCAGCAGCAGCAGCAAACGGCAACGGGCACACAAGAATGAAACAAAGAGACGAAGAAGCAAACACACACTCACACACACATACGCGGAGAGATGGAGGAGGGGGATCTCATGACTACTCAAGCATGTAGCGGCGGAGGCGGCGCAGGCCCCACCACGCGGCACCAAGTCCCACGGCGGCGCCTACCGCCATGACTCGATGCCGAGCCCGCCGCCGCGCGGGGGCTTCGCGGTGGTAGTAGTACTCCGTGGGCTCCTGCGAGGTCTTGAGGATCTTCTTGTCGTACTTCTGCCGCTGCTGAAGCTGCGCGACCTTCAGCAGTGGCGACTTCACGTGCAGGGCGGTGGGGGAGAGGTCGTCGCCGGTGAAGTAGCTGCGCGCCTGCTGCGCCGCCGCCTTCTCTGGTTCACGGCCGTATATGTCGTCCTGCGCCGCCTGCTTCAGCGCCTCGTAGCTCTCCTCACCAAAGTTGTGGTCGTACTTGCTCCCGAAGAGAATCTGCTGCTGGCGAAACGGCATGCGGTTCTCTAGCTCCCCGCTGAGCTTCTCAAAGCTGCGGTCAAACTTCCCACTCGGGGTGTGCGCCGGGTTGGGCTTGATCGTCTGCGGCCGCAGGAGAACGCGGGTGCGGCGAACCCCGCCGGCCGCGAGGCGGCACACAGGCCGCAGCGGTGCGACGTAACCGGCGCCGTGCTGCAGCAGCGGCCGGAGACACGACCAGCGCCCAACGCCGTGCGACATGCCGCCGCCACACGCCGAGCTCAACTCTCACCGCCGGCGCCGCAAGAAGAGGCAGAGAAAAAGAAAAATAAACGAGCAGCGTGGGGAGGCGCAGGCGACGGCAGTGCCGGGGGAGGGAGTCGGTCATCGCAGGGGCCAACGGCGCCCGCAGAGGCAGCGGCGGCAACAGCAGCCACGCACACACACGCACACGCACACACGGAGACAGAGAGAAACAAAAAGAAAGTTCCTTAGAGAGCGTGCGGCGGAGAGATGAATTGCCCTCACACGCTCTCGCCCCCCTTCACGTCGGTAGCTGCCCGCCTTCCTCCTAGCGGCAGACCTCTACGCCCTCAGCGACCCCCCTGCTTCTCGCGGAGGCAGACGCACACGCGGAACGAGAGAGCCACCAGGGCTCGCACCCCCTACCCGAAGAAAAACAGGAAGAAAAATAAACAAAAAATGGTACCGAAGAGCGACACAAGGACCAAGAGATTCTTCCCCGCCGCCTGGAAACGCTGCCGCCGCCGCTGCCGCTGGTGGTAACGATATAGCTGCTGCGGCGACATTGCACTCAGCCGCGCCATTTCGAGCTCATTCTTCGCCGTCATGGAGTCCACGTCATGAAGAAATTGCTGGAACTGGTCCGGCGGCAGGGCACGGCGCATCATCTCAATCTCGTTTGCAAGCTCGCGCGAAGTGAGCTGGGCCGCCTTGTAGGAAAGTTTCTGCTGGTACTGATCCAGCCGCTCCGCCAGCTCCTCACGCGAGACGCCAGGGATGGTGTCGGGGAGCTGCTTAGGGTCCACGCTAAAGTTCGCGGGGAACGGCACCGCCTTTTTGCCCTCCGCCGCACCCTCACTGCTCGTGGTGGGACCCGCGCTCGCCATGCGGCGGCACCAGAGGCGGGGCGCACCGCATGGCAGGCAAAGGAGTGAAAGGTGTACTGCGCGTGACGCCCTCACCACGCCAGAGCGAGACAGCATGGTCCCCACCTCTGCTTGCTCGCCCCCTGCTCTCTACGCACGGCAAGAGAAGACTCTCCCGCCCGTTTCTTGCTTCCTCGCTAAAACGCAGCAAAGAGCAGTGAAGGAGAGAATGCATGCATGCACGCTTCCGTGGCTCAAAACGCCGCAATACTTCTCGCATGAAAAGATGCAAACCAAGCGGCACGGTAAAGGGCAGGGAGCCGCGATGGGGCGCGCCACTGTGCACAGTACATCATCCACACCTCTCTCTCTCTCTCT